ATTAAGCTATAGACCTAATATAAAGTGATGATCAATTTGCAGGACAGTATCCACCATATTGATGTATAAAAGTCGTAATTTCGCGAGAATTAGCATCTATCAATAGGAATGCAATATTTTGCCTGTTGCTGGAATTAAATGGGAAATAATCTTGACCTTTGCTATTCTTAGCAACTACTTCTAACACCAAAGTGCTCACAATCAAATCATTAGAAGTATTCTGCTTCTGTACTCTAGAAGAAATGCAGTATGACATTTTTAATATTTGTATAACTTCTCTTACACTTAATCTTAACAAATGCTATTATAATAACCTTATGAGATCCTTATAGATCTTTTTAGTGATGTCCAAATATGGCTGTATTACGTCTTCAAACTGACATAATGTTCCGCCAAGAACGAGCATTTGAAAAATTCGAAACACAAACTCATCTTTTTCATATTCCGAATATAGATTGTATTCTTCTGACTCTTCATCCAAAAGCATCTAAAAATCGTGAAAAGTTAAAAATAACATTAAGAATTTCCAATACACACAAATGCTTTTTAGTTTACTACAGCTTAAGATAATTCAAAAACGAAGTTTAGCAAATCTGATTTAATAAACAATGTAATATTTCAAGAAAAAGAAAAGAGATTACAGATGAAATATTTCAGATGAAAATGTCTTACACCACGAAGATTGTCAGATACCAAAAAGTCTTCTATTTGCAAATCATATCTTTTGCAAATCTTTCCGGAACTATACGTAATCTTGTTATCTGGGTCCTTAAGTTTATCAAAGAATGACATACTTAAGACCGAGCATGGTACTTGCTTTATCTGTACACTTGACGCTTGTATACCTAACAGTATTTTTTTTTAATTTAGATAGATTTATTTACTTAGCTATAATAATTTTCCTAAGAATAATATATATACCTTGTCTTACCCAGACAGAGCCTTGTTTGGACAATAATGCTTTAGCAACGGTGTTATCTTTAAAAAATGTCTATAAATTTTTTTAATGAATCTCACAATATAAATAATATAATATTTTATGTCATTTACATAAAATATATATGTGTATATATTTTTTAATAGATATAGCAAATTGTTTTTGTTTCTTTAATTAAAAAAATCAGGAAATACAAATCTTTAAAACAAAAAAATTACGGTATATTTTTTTACGTATTTATATATTCATATTTTTCTATATTCTTTGTCAATGTGATTTTATAGATAAAAAAATTCAAATCACTTTATAGTTAAATAATATTTAAGATCATCGCACGAATTTTGTAACATCCCGCATAATTTGGAAAAAAATATTGTCTTTGTTGACAATAAACTTACATCAGCTAAATGATATTTATAATATTGTTGAAATTCTTCGTTGAATGAAAAACTTTGGATAATAAAGTTTCCTTTTAAGCCCCTAAAAACACGATTGTTTAATGTATAACCAACTGTTCAGCATTTAGAGAGTTAACTACATGCATTGTGTGTGTGTAAAAAATGGTAACTAAAATATCAATATTACCATTTACACAGATATTCTTCCGTATTTTTATCATTAATCCCGACGAAGGTTTTCTCATTCAACGGCACAAACGTGAATTTCGGCTCAATCTCCATTTTTACACATCTACGATCTCCATGGAGATAACACGGGAGTTTTCTAATTCATCGATTGATTAATGCGCAATGCTCCATAAAAAGCTGCATTTATGCATAATACGATCTGATTAGTCGATGAATTAAAAATACTTATATTTAAATAAATTTATTCAGGCCAGATATGTATATGCATATATATATACCATAGTCCATAGATATATATGTATTTAATTAAAAACATGTAGAATGCTGTTAATATGACCGCATCATCTTTCGTAAATAGATAGAACAAACTAAACTGAGCCGAAGAAACTTTTTGTATTATTTTGCAATTTTTGCAATATATAATTAACAAAATATTAACAAAAGCGTTACGACCTTTGATGCCCAGCACAAGAATTGCTAATTTTTATTTCTAAAAATCGGTAACTAATAACATAACTATAGTTACTGTTTCTATTCGGTGACGAAAAACTGTAACTTTGTCATTTGTAAAAAAAGTTAACTTTCTATTCCATGATTAAAAGATTTGACTTATTTGTAAAATATTTTTATTTGTTTCAAATCTCTCTATTAATTTAATAATTGTAATGTTAATAAATGTACATGAATTTATGTCTTCATTTAAAATAGAAACAAACGTCTAGAATGTGCTCCAGTTTGTCTCCTAGTATCAATTGAATAATTGTCTAGTAAAACTTATACTATATATATATTATAAAGCTTGGCTTAATTAAACTTCATTGGTATCATATATTAAAATTTTAAAACCATGTATTCTTTTATAAATAACTTTTAACAATTTCAAATAAGTTTTATCCTGTTATTATTTTCTAATAACGGACAAGCCCAGAATAAATTATTTAAATCTTATAATTCATAACTACAGAAAAAGTCGGCGAATATATACACGTATTGTCGTCTGGCCTTCCCGTCTTCCCACTGCGATTGCTAAGCACGGAGTGGGGAATTGCTTGGTAAATATGGTGCCAGCCATGTGTTGCACTCGGCCTCGGTTAACCTGACTTCATTTGTTACTTTATAACAAGCTTTATTTATTATAACGTGCCTTGAGGTGCGTGCTGCTAAGATATTGTGTTCATTTCGACCAAATGGGAGATAAATATTATAGTGCTCGGGAATATACCGACATGATTATCATATACGGTGAAGTCGGAGAAGACGCTGTTGAAGCTGCCCGTGTATACGCAGAACGATTTCCTGGACGCAGGATATTTCCCGATGCAAACGTCATTTTGAATTGTATTCGACGTGCACGGGAAACAGGATGCGTGTTGCAGAACTGAAATTGAAAAGTAGCATGCTGGTACATTTTCAATCTTGAATACAGTCCTAAACCGAAACTGGAATAGTATCACAAATTAACTTGACAAGTAATTTAATATTTTTAGAAAACTGTTCTAAGATTTGATACTTGTCAGCATCAAATTATCAACAATTATTATTAATTTATATGTGATTGATTTTTATTGTTCTGATATCTATATTTATTATTTATTTGTTTGATATTATTGAATTATTTATTGATTTATTCTTGCATTTTATACGAATTTAATTATTGTACATTGGTTTTTTGTTTAGTTTGTCGGTTATTATAACGAAATATATAAACGAAAATATGTTCAATAATTATTTTACTTATATTGTGTATATAATTCAGAATAGTCCCTTATACTGTATCTTCTATGATTGCTCAATTTGAGATTTTTTTAAATACTTTTCATTGCATAATTTTCCTTATAATCGTTTGTTTTAGATATGTTTATATGATTGTTTAAATTAAATTGTTCGTTAAATTACTTGGCTCGTTACCCTCTGTATATTTATACTATTTTATACATATAGAGAGCCTTATAATTACTTTTATTTTAACATTTATTTTATCAGTTCTATTTAGAATTATAATTTTTGCATGAAATTTTATATCAACTATGTGTTAATTTATTATTTTATTTTACAAAATAGAGTGAACGAATTATAAATTTTAGGTACATGGAACTGCCTGATATTGTTGGTTTAAATCTGTAAGACAAATCCTAGCATTTTGTTCTCTACAGTGATAATCCAATAAATAGATGATGCAATAATACCAAGATCATTGAACAGGCTTATGATTATTAAGGACTAATATGATTATTAAGAACTATTAATGAAGAAAGTATCTAACCGATGATTTCGGTGGCACTGCAAAGTGCAGTGAATATACCAATGAAGTTTATAAGAAAGTTGCCGTGAAAGTCAAATAAAAGGCAGACAATTTTGTTGATTGAAATTTGAGCTGCAAAATACTGATAGAATTCGTGCGTCCACAATCATAGATTTCCGCTATTATCTACCATTTGTTTGTATCGCATGTTATATCGCATATAGCTTAATGTATATGTTTCTACACAATTAGAAGTCTATTATTGGAATAGACAGAATGGAAGTTGTTAAGTATTGTTTTAGTCGCTCACGCATATGCATAGATTTTCTTCCTTTCTAGATGTACTATTTTGATTAATTTATGTAATTCGACTTGATTTCAAAATTTATTAAATTATTTATGTGCTGGAATGGCATTTAATTTTATTTCGTTCAATATTAAACGTATAATACGAGCACCATTGTTTCTATTGACTTCGTTAACCATGTATATTTCTGTAAATAACTAATGTGATATATCGTTTATAATTATTCAAAGAAAAATTTTTACACAGACTAAAAATTAACTATGTATTTTGAATAATAGGAATTAATGTTGTATCATAGTTTCAAATAAAATTGTATAAAATTGTTATGTGAGACGTATATCTTATAGTTAAGACGTTAAGTGTATGGTTTACGCACAATAGGAGAAATATTAGGAACAGATATTAAATATAAGAATTTTAACTTGTCAGAAAGCGCACATTCCACATTCCACTGTTCTGATAGATTAAAATTCTTATATTTAATATCTGTTCCTAATATTTCTCCTATTGTGCGCAGCCCTAAGAATAGTTAAAGAATAAAAATTTACGAAATTAAGAGGATGTTGACTCTTCTTATTTCAAGCGCGTACGCGCTTTTTGTGTTACCGACTCAACGTCGATAAGTCAAGATACTACTATGATCCAGGAATTAAAATGCTCCGCACTGTACATTAACTTAAATATTTAAATCGTGGAGAAGAAATTCTTATTCTCTGCGAAACTATTACGAAGAAATTAGACAGGAACGAAAACGTCAAAAAAAATACCTAAAACTAAACATTCTTAATTTATCGCATTAGAATTTTGAGAACTTGAAAATTATTTTTAAACGTTCTTTTTCAATTATATATCGATTGTAAAAAGACATACTATATTTTTATACGTATAATAAATATTATCGACAGATATTGATTATTATTTTTATTTTCCCACCTGTGAGACAGCGAGGGCGTCACAAACGCTATCCCACATTGCAGGTTGCAGGCCCACTTCTTATCTTGCGAGAACGACACCAAATGACACGCACACATAGTTCAACATAGTTGAGAATTGGGATTGGGACATATGTTCTGAATATTCGTTCCTCTTGTAGAAATGTTTGACATACGAGTGAGATTTTAACAACGGCTTCGATTTTATCCTTTTCTTCCTTACTAATTATTATTATCAATAAATGTTTCTTTTATACAGCAATGTGACTCGAGTGGACAATAAATAAGGATAGCGAAAGTATCATGGCACCTAACCAACGTCAACGACAGCTCGTTTTGTCAAAGAAAGAATTGAAAAAGATTAATGGAAGAAGATTCTCAAAGTACATATAATATTCTCTTTGTTCTTCAGATTTTGTGAATTGTTATACGAAATGCTTATCAACTGGGACCGAATAATCTTATCTGTCAATTGCTCATTGTTGAAACAGGAATAAATGTACAAACAGCTATAAATGTAGCCTCGTTATAGTTTAATCATATATTTATATATATATATATATTTTTTTTTTATATTAATAACTTAAATACATGAGACATATAAATCTTGAAAGAGAAGTAAGAAGCTTATATTTTGTAGCATATTAAAACTGCAAAAACGTATGCAACAATGCATTCTCTGTTATATGTCTCAACTACATATTTTACATTAATTATTTAATTATCTAATATTTCTATGACTCAATATACATGAAATATTTAAATTAAAAAAAAAAAAAGAAAATCTTCCATTATTTTTAACTTGTCTTCTGCTGTATTTTTAATTGATCATTATAAATAACGATTATATCTCATTTTGCTAAAAAAAAAGTACGCATTTTTATTATTATTTGTTTCTAATTTTTCTATTATTTTCTAATTGTACCATGCAAACTTTATAAAAAATAATGTCCTAACCTTTGCAATATTTAATATCTAAAAAAATATGAATATGTATGGTAAAAAGAAAACAAATAATTAAATTCAAATAATAAAGGGCAAAGAGTCAATAATATAACAAAACTAAAACTTTCATTTAAATATAATGTAGCTACAATTCGACAACCGTTTTGACTTCAGGTCATATTTTCAATGTTTCAATTTCAATGTTACAATTTAATATAGATACAGATATTAGTACTACAAAATTTAACAGTGTATCTGTTTGTGTTCTTCTTTAAATACAAATAATTAAATTATGTTTTAGGCCAGAAGAATCTTCCGACGTGGGACTTGTCTATCCCAATTATGATACAGCTTTTAAATTGCTATTGTCAGCAAGATTTTGCTCAGCTGTATGGTGTCACATAACAGACTGTGATGAAACATATAATTACTGGGAACCAGTGAGTTTATAATATAGCTCAATTCAACATTACACAAACTTAAAAATACTATACTTTGAAATGTTTATTCTTTGTTGCATCTAATTTAAAAAACGAAATGTTAAAAGTAGAGTCATTCCTTTCATGAAAACAAATTATTCTTAGAATATCTTCAATAAAATGTGAACGATATACTAGTAAAATATTGCAGTGCATTAGTATCAACTATGTGTGCATTATATTTGTATTCTGCCAATAGAACTTTCTAATATAATTCAACAGAAATCGAAAAGAACTTGCCATTTTGTAACTATTTAAGTAATATTATTTAATTTGAATAAAGGAATGATGATGGCAATGAGAGCTAACACAATTGATCGTATGTAATACAACACACACACAAAATTAATAATTACAAGCATTTTGACTCTAAATTTTGCTCTCATCTGCATTATTATTCTTTTATTTAATCTTTGGAGCCTTTTTTAATATTAATTATTGAATTGTAATGTGTGATTTTATTTGAATAGTTGTGCAATAGCAGATTCTGTTACATTTATGTTGATATTCTGTCAAAAAAATTTGTATCAAATTTTACAAAATCTTTTCGATAGAATTAGTTATTTCGCAATGTAAATTTCTCGCAACAAATTTCTCTCATTCTTTGATATTCGATTTTTAATGGATATAATATACTTTCACACAATGTGCATTTTGTCATATCTGCATTGTCTTGTCTTAGAGTCATTTCTTGCTATATGGAACAGGCCAGCAAACGTGGGAGTACAGTCCTGAATATGCCTTACGTTCGTATATGTACTTATTAATTCACATGGTACCAGCAAAAGTTTATCATTATCTATTGGAACCAAATCCCACACTAGTTTTCTATTTTACGCGATGCTTCCTATCTGTGGGTTGTACATTATCTGAATTATACTTTTACAAGTACGTTTTATTCTTGAAATTAACACTTATATATATCATGTAAGCAAGAATTGACATGTTACTTTTATAGCATGTAACTTTGTTTTTTAGGAGTGTCTATCGCGAATTTGGGATCCATGTGGCAAGACTTACATTAGTATTCCTCATTCTCAGCTCTGGAATGTATATCTCCAGTGCTGCGTTTTTACCATCGTCTTTTTCAATGTAGGTACAATTACAAAATGAGAAATATATTAATTATTTTTAATACATAATTTATTTATACATTATATATCAATATTTATCACAGGTATCTGAGTACTGTTGCTACTGCAGCTTGGTACGCTCGCCAGTATGAATTGGCTATTTTTGCTACCGCTATCTCTTCGTTACTTGGATGGCCATTTGCTGCGCTGCTTGGGTAATTTTTATACCGATATACATAAACAATCTTGACTTAATATGTTACAACAGAGAAACTCATTTTCCTTGCTTTTTAGGCTTCCCATCGCCGTTGAAATGTTAATACACAAACGAGATTGGATCAAATTCATAAAATGGGTCATTATATCTGCCGTTGTAATTGTGATACCAATAGTGTGGGTGGATTCCTTGTACTTCGGCAAACTTGTCATCGCGCCATTAAATATCATATTATATAATATTTTCACCAACCATGGACCTAATCTTTATGGCACTGAGCCATTCAGTTATTACATCATTAATGGATTCCTGAATTTCAATTTTATCTTTATCGGTGCATTGCTCGCACCCTTAGGCTTGGTAAAATTTTTGATAGTTTATACTTGATCTATACAAAATGTCTCAGATATCGCACACTTTCTGTAAACTACAGATTCTTCAACAAAGTTTAAATAATTCTCTTCTAACTTGAAAGTTCGATCAGATACTGTATTTCTTTATTATTAATATTACGGTTAAAATTTTCTCGAAATTGACATAAAATAGGTAAAATATACATATTTTCTAAAAACTATATATAACTATATTTTTAAAGTGATTTAATTTTCAATATAAATAATTATATTGAATCAGCTGAAAGTGCACGATAATTGCAATATCTCGTACAACACATGATTTATTTCAGTATTTTAACTATATTTATAGTTTTTAGTATGGCTGATTGTGCCAACGCGTCCAAGAGATCGTTCATGTCTTTCTTACTGGTATTCATTGGCTCCTTTATATTTATGGATTCTTGTATTCTTTGTTCAGCCGCACAAAGTACGTATAAAGTAACAATTGGTAATAATATCAACGTCCTAGTTAACACCGAGCACTTAATGAGTGTATTAACTCTATTAACTTTCTATTAAATTATATTAATTTCGACAATAGATTTAAAGAATGATGTACTAATCTGGTACAACATGCATCTAGTCTAGATGATTAATTAAATAGCCATATACATTTACACGCATCGTTGAAATTAAGATAATTTAATAGAAAGTTACTGGTTAGTACGCGTATTAAGTGCTCAATGTAATCAAGGTCATTAAGAGAAAAATGAATGCATTTGAACTTCTGCATATACAAGGAATGTTGAAAAATTTATATTTTGCACAATATTTAGATTGTTCAAATGTGTTACATTGATATGTAACAAATTAATAATATAAAAAACGAAATTGACAAAATTAATGTGCCAACAGGAGGAACGGTTCTTGTTTCCAGTATATCCTATGATTTGTTTAGCAGGCGCTATAGCGGTGGATATTGTACAGAAGCTGTACTTTTATGTTAGAACGAAACTCAATCCATCGCATATCAGTTGCCACTATTTGCAATATACTGTACACATAACTGTTCTAGCAATACTAACATGTGGTCTCTTGGGATTATCAAGATCATTGGCGATATATAAAGGTTATTATTATATGAAAAGCAATTTTATTTAAAAAAAAAAAAAATAATAGAGTTTAATAAAATTTATTATTATGCATATTAGGATATTATGCTCCCATGGAAATTATGACTGAAGTCAACAAACTGGAAACAGAAGGTAACATACCTAGAGACGTTAATATAAATTTCTGTATTGGAAAAGAATGGCATCGCTTCCCTAGCAGTTTTTTCTTTCTATATATATATATATATATATATACATGAAATTTTATTGTTAAGGGAGAGAAATATATTGAAGAACACATCTCTACTGCTAATGCAAATACAATATAACGATATATTTCTTTAATTTAATGTCATTATTTTTAAAATTATTTTCAGTTGGAAATTACAATACTTGAGATCTGAATTTAAAGGACAGTTACCTCAACCCTTCTTAGATCATGAAAATGCAACAAGTGTAATTCAAGCACATTTTAACGATATGAATAAAGAAGAACCATCGCGTTATGTACGTACCTACCTTGTACGCAAATAACACAATATTATCTATTACTCGAATTGTGTTACTACACTTTAAATTCTGTTACTACACTATAAATATATTATCAAATCTCTGCTTTTTACTTTCAGTTTAATTTAGAGAAGTGCCATTTTCTGTTAGATCTGGATACAGAAACTGAAACAGTTTTAGAACCAAATTACTCTCGCCTAAGTAATCAGTTTATTATTGTGAAATCTTCTAAATTCTTAGATGCATCAAAGTAAGTTCAAAACTTTCATTCACATATGTATATGTATAATATGTTAACTACATTAATAAAAATTATATTTATGTCTCTGATAATTCAATTATCATTTATGTTACAGATCACATCCATTCTTCAGAGCTTTTTACATTCCATTTGTATCTTATAAGTTTTGTAAATATGGTTCATATAATTTATTACAAAATAAGTTTAACTCCATGCTTTTATCATCCAAGCAAAGACATTCCCAGTTTTCTTAAGTAAAGAGAACAAAATTTGAGAACTGAAAAAATTAATACTATTGATACAAGAAAAATTAAATTTATTTTATAGAGCATTTTTAATATTGTATCCGATATTCTAACTACGTTGAAAGTAATAGTATGTATGTATATATGTATATATAAATGTATATATTTAAAAACTTCAAGAATCTAAAAACTGGGCATCAGATAATGACAAAAGTCGCTTTAATCTTAATATACAAAGTGTATCAAGTCCCACTTAGACCCTATATCTTGGAAACGGCTTTAAATATGGAAAAATGTTCTAGATAAAAATTGTGAACATTAAGGAAAACATGATGAAAATATGGATTTGACTTATGTAACCGATATTTTTTTAATGGAACCTCTCATTTTTTATTACATATTCTTGTAGCTAATCTTAAGAGCTTTTCAAAACACTAATATACATATATAATAAAATATTTTTTCATTAATTACTTTTCCAGTTATGAGGATTGAAAGTTACAGTGTACTGCTGACATTAGTATTAAGCAAGGTATACCGAGTAGAGATTGCTCGGTCGGATTTAGTCCATATTTTCATCGTATGTTTCCTAATGTCCTAAAACTTTTGTTTAAAATATTTTTCTATATTATAAGCCGTTTCTGAGATATAGACCTTAGATGAGACTTTATAAACACCCTGCGTGTATAAATATTCTGTATATAAAAATCTATATTGAAAAATTGTGTTAAAATAGTTTGATAATATTATCAGTTTTTGAACATGGCCGGAGACACTACCGCGTCTCCTGATTATTAAAATACTGGATCTTTTAAAATATTTTTTTACAATTTATTTTGAAATAGTATTTCGACAAAATAATAACTATATATAGTTAGTGGCATATTTGCAAACCTAAATGAATAAAGAAATTGTTCAATATAATTGATAAAAATATATTTCAGCTATATTATGTTTAAAATATTCAGAAATATAATTATGTATAAAAGAATCAAATTAACCTCTACATATGCTTACTAATGGCGAATTCGATTGGATTACACCAGTGCAGTGTGATTGCACCAGTTCATCTTTTTTCCTTTTCCCTTCTCCTGGAAAGAAAAGAAAGATGAAATCAGGTGCACTCAGTGTGCACTAGTGCATCCAATCGAATTCGCCATAAAATACATAATTTCCAAATTATTGTAATCCTTTCTGTAACGTGAAATATTTAGTATGGAAAAATTCTAAGTAAAAAGAATCAAACGTTTTTTGAAAGTACAAAATATTTATTTCTCAAAATTGAATTTAATTTTTGACAAAAATATTTAGAAGAAATTTTATTTTAACTGAATTGTCATGTCATGGTAAACTATCTTAGTGCAACTATAGCAAATTTTCATCAATTAGTTAATCAATACTTCTACAATTTCTCTAACGGAGTAGAATTTCCGTAAACGTGTAATTAGTGAATATGTAAATATATGAGTTTGTTCTATTTCATCTCTATAGATTATGTTCATGATATCATCTATTCTCTTTCCAGGTGGTAACTCCACACTACCATTAGGCCAAATTGTCATATTCTTTTGAACACTGAATAACAAATTTAGAAGTAAATACCATCGTTCTGACCGTATCCCATATTCCTCCATCAAATGAACAAATTTATCTCTAGTAATAGTCGTCATTGCGTTCATAACAAATTTTTTTTCTCTTTTTGCTTCCAATGTCAAAGCTTCTTGCCAAGCTTCAGGAGACAACACATATTCATTTCCTTTGCTAAGAAGTGAGTCATATATCTGGACAATTTGCTTAGTTCTAAAATTTCTTACTTCAGTAAATGCATATTTTCTTATATACACATCAAAACAAGTCATTAGAGCAACAGCTATTTTTTGAGATTTTTCTTCTTCTGTTTCATTTTTGAAAAGAGTTGCCAAACAAGTCGGGAGATTTTTCAAAAGATATATGTAATGTGATTGATGTGACCTGTCTTCTTCCATTATGCAACAAAATCTCTATAACTAGTTCTCTATCATGTGTGAGATGTGTCTTTTCTAGTTATAGGAATTTCCTTCAGATTGTAATAGATTGTATGTATGTATATATACACCTGCAATGATATTATCAAACAATTGCATTACAGTTCTTCCGTTATAATCTTAACTATAACTTGTATTGTTATTCTAATTCAAACAGCTCAATGGAATATATGTTACATCATTATTTATAGATCTTTATGGATAACTTCAATCAAATTTCTATTAATTCATACAATTAATATTAAATGTATACTTTTTTATCAACATTTTAATATAGAACTATTAATATTTTGTCTCAACACTTATAAAAAATTAGATTAACTTAATAAGTTAAAAGTATAGGGGTAACAAAATTGTATAACTAAAAATTTAATATTGATTTACAGTATTTGTCAATAGTAGTTGTTTGTATGAACATTTATCTCGATTATGTTAATTTAAGTAGATCAAAATAAGTTTTGTAAACTCACGTCTTTTCATTCACCTAAGTTAGAGTAAAGAATAGGGAGCAATAGGGAGAAGAAGAATGGAAGTGAATGCAGAGAGAAGCCTGAGAGCGGCCATGTCCGGGATTTAGCTGTTACTTTATTTTGAAACGCCACTTATGTCCACAAAACGTGGACGTTGAACTATGTAGCCAATGTCCAAGATCATGTCGGTAATGTCCAAGATTTTTGGTTCGAATCTTCCCTATGTCCATGATTTAAAAAAAATGCCTCTGAGGTAGAAAAATTGGAACGAAAAGGGTCAAGTGACCAGTAGTGGGGATATTCAAATCTATACGCGCATAACAATATGAATATAACTGGTTATAATAGTAAGTTCCTGAGCGATGTGTTAACTAATGTTATTAACATTATTTAAGTTTGCATTATTTAAGATAGAGAAATATACCGTTTCTCAATCTAAAATAATGCATTCTTAAATAATGTTAATAACATTAGTTAACACAA